TTGGTGTTCAAAGATGAATCACGACCTGGATTCATTTAACATTCAGTTCTGTGGTTCTTCCCTCAGTGCTTAACAGCTCTTTGAGCAAATTTAGGGAACTAGAACCTACTTATTTTTGAAGGAAAGTGCCATTTCTGCAGCATAATCAGGAACTAAAAGACGAAAGTAACATTAGAATTGAAAGGTGCCTCTGAAATCACTTGGTTCGATCCCCTCATTTTTAAAGATGAGGAAGTAAAGACCCAGAGAACTCTGAGGTTAATAACATATTTCTTATGTTTATCCCAAGTCAGCACACCCATAAGTAATACCTTCTTTATTTTTATTTGGTTAATTCATGTGGTTAGTATGTGAGTTTGGTTTCTTTTTAAAATGTGTAAGTGTAAAATAGCTGGGAGAAAAAAAAAATATCCCAAATCTCTCTACCAAGGGACAGTCACTGTTAAAGGCAGCATGACCATCACTAAGGGAATGAGCTTTGGAACCAGACAGTGCCAGACAGCACCCCATCATTTAACCCTTCCAAGTTTCAGTGTCTTTATGGCCACATGGGAGATGATAGCATTCACCTCATGGTGCAGATTAACATACATTGCATGGGTAAAGCTTTCAGGTCAGTGAGCTAAATGATTGTATGCAATTCATATTAGCAATTATTAGTGGTACCGTTGAGATAGTACTCCATACATTTTTGTACCATGCTTTTTTTCACTTACTGGATCCCATGCATTTTCCCAGGGCATCAAAGAATCTTTATTAATACACATCTTTTATGTCATGACCATCTTTGTAGAGAAAAAATGGAGGTATTTTCCATTTCAAAGCCAAGGTTACATATACCTTCTCAAAAGAAGAAAAGCTGAATCAGCAGCTGCCCACAAAGGGGGAACGAAACAAGGGTTAATTAAGAGGAACTATTTTGGAATAAACAGCTGGATTTACAAGGGTGTGCATGAGAATGCTTTGATGCATGCATTTAGAGAGTAAAGGATATGGAATAATTGATGGCTATATTGGCAGATCAAAGTGTCTCAAGGGCATGCAGGCTGCGGAGTTAAACTGTTTGCACTTTTCTTGCATTTAGTGTGTGTATTTTGTGAGCATAATAATAATTTGTACGCACACAGAAGCTTTCATCTGGGGAGGAGCTCAGAGCACTTTGAAGATGTTAATAAGAAAAAGACCTGCTAATTAAGATTGCTTAAAAATAAAAACTCTCCTTTCAGCATGTTTACATGCTTGCCAGGAGGATTCCAACTTATAGAGATTTGTTATCACAAGTGAGTTGTCCACATTTTATTTTTAAAACACATTGTTGGATTTAGTGTACGGATAAAATCCTTTTCTGGAGGGTCACACCACATGGAACAAGAATAATTCAACAGTCTCTGACATGTTGATTTGGAGATCATACTTTTACCCAGAAAATGTTGAGGTTAGAACAAAAAGCAATACCATGTTGGATATTTGTAGTGAGTTTTCAATTTCAGACTAAACCCACCAAAATATGCTTAGAAAGAAGGACAAAGCATTCCCAGACCTTTCTGAAATTATATTTGCTAAAGGAAATTCAGATAGCAAAAATCGTATCTCAGTGCGTGGTGAAAAGGATGACTTTGTTAAGGCTTCTACAAGCTTACCCCTCAATTTCCCTAGATCCAACACACTAAAGCAAATCTCTACATAGATAGAGTCAATTCATGAAATCTTTCCTAATCCAGCTGTTAGAACTGGATGCCTCCCTTCTCTCTGCTCCCTGGGCAGTGAATGTTATTTGTTTGAAAATATTATTTGTATAATGATTTAGTGTTTGAGTCTTTTTTTCATATGTCAGATATTTATAGTTCTTTCCCACCAGAGAAAAAACTCCAATTAGGCAAAAATATATTTTATTCGTTTTAATATCCTGTAGAGGGCTTAGCACAGTGTATGATCCTTAACACCACATGCCCATTAATAATTATGTTCAAAAAATAATTATTATTTATTTTCTTGTATTTTTTTTTATTTTTTTAAGATTTTGTTTATTTATTTGACAGACAGAGTGAGTGAGAGAGTGAGCACAAGCCCGTGGGAGGGGAAGAAGAAGAGGGAGAAGCAGACTCCCTGCTCAGCAGGGAGTCCAACACAGGGCTCCACCCCAGGACCCTGAGATCAAGATCTGAGCTGAAGGCAGATGCTTAACTGACTGAGCCGTCCAGGCGCTCCAATAACTATTTCTTTTAATTAAGAATTTTCATTATAGCAGTTTTATAATAGAAAAAGAAATTGGATACAGTATCAATGTCCATCAACAGGGCAAGGGCTAAAAAAGTTATGAGACATCTGTACAATGGGATACTGTGTCACTATTAAAAAGAATGAGACAAACTTGAAAAATTCCATGGTCTATGGAATGAACAACTCAAGTAGAAGAATATGTATTTTAGCATCTCCTTTTTGCAAAAATAAGACAAAACCAAACGGGCAATTGAGAGATGCATGGGATGAATAGATATAATAGAGAGCTAGCTAAATTTTTTAATTATTCATAGAAATTAGAGGACTTGGGGGCACCTGGGTGGCTCAGTCAGTTGAGCGTCTGCCTTTGGTTCAGGTTATGATCTCAGAGTCTTGGGATGGAGCCCCATGTGGGCTCCGAGCTCAGTGGGGAGTCTGCTTCTTCCTTTCCCTCTGCCCCCTCCCCCAAATAAATACATAAACTTTGAAAAAAAAAAGAAAAGAAAAGAAAAGAAAAGAAAAGAAAAAGAAATTGGAGGCCCTGAAAAATATGAGCAAATCATCGACAGTGAACATTTCTGGCACATGGGACTGAGGGGAGTGGGCTGGCTGTGAGAAGAAAGTCCCTCACTTGTTACCCTTACCTCCGTATTGTTTGAAGTTTTAGCAGTGAACAAGTATTATTTTTGGTCATTAAAAAAACGGAAATTTTTTATTGACTTCAAGTTTGGATTTGTTGAACTTGCCTTCGGTCAGGCAGATGACTTAATATCCCATATTCCTGCACTTCAAGCCTGTCTCCCTGACAGAGCCTCTGGCATGGAGCGAGCTGGAAGGGACAAAGCTTTCCTTTTTCAAGAGTAAGCATTTAGCTGGATTCACACTGACTCCCTTGGGCATCCTCCTGGGGTACCTTTCCAGGGCCTTGCTTTCTAAATTCGGTATACTAATGGGTTGGGACAGATTCCCTGGCTGACTTTGGAAGTTGTCAAAATCTCTCTGGTAACTTTCCTAGGCTTTTTGGTCTCTAACAAGACATGGACCTTTTTCAGTTGTAAATCAGCTTACATCAAAATTCAAGCAGGAGGCCATGCTGCCGCTGAAATCCCTTCTGCTCCCTCATTCTAGCCGCGGAGTTCTCACTCCCTTGAAACTCCTACCTCGTGGGGTAATCAGAAATAGCCACCTGGGCTAATTTCCTAAGTGGCCATTCTCTTATTTTGACCAGCAGGAGGGGTGTGATCTGTTTTCCACATACAGTGTGTGTCAGTTGGCTTGCTGCCAGCCTGATTCTCTCAACAGAAAGGAACCCGAACTCTCTCTAAAATCAGAGGACAAGAGGGAATTTGTGGGAATATTGCAGATTAATCCACTTTGCTGTGATCTGGCCTGGCCCATTTTTAGAGGGGGCTGGTTCAGGGTTAGTTTGTGGTTACATAAACTTACCAGCCATCCGGAAGAGGAAACAATACCCTCTGGTGGTAAGATTATATCCTGCACCACGTACCCTAAATTTCAGCTCTAGGCCAGGTCGCCTTACTTGCACTCATACCTCAGTACACAGGAACATTTTTAATCACAGAAATTACGCTTTTTTTAAAAGTTTGTTTGTTTGTTTGTTTATTGTAATCTCTACACCCCACAGGGAACTCGAGCTCACAACCCTGAGATCAAGAGTCGCGTGCTCTACAGGAGCCCCCAGAAATCTATACTTAAAGAAATCAACCCCACCTTTTTTTTTCTTAAATTTTTATTTATTTATTTTGACACAGAGAGATCACAAGTAGGCAGAGAGGCAGGCAGAGAGAGAAGGGGAAGCAGGCTCCCCGCTGAGCAGATAGCTCGTTATGGGGCCCGATCCCAGGACCTTGAGACCATGACCTTAGCTGGAGGCAGAGGTTTTAACCCACTGAGCCACCCAGGCGCCCCTCAACCCCACCTTTTATCTTGAGTGATAGTATAGAAATACAAACGGTAAAATTTCCCTTACCCAATTACGCTTTTATCGTTCCGAGTTACTGTGTTAAACAATATGCAGATCAAAATTATTAAGTGCGCTATCATTCTATTATGGAAAAAAATTCCCATCATTCTGCAAACTACAGAGCTGAAGTTGATTTTTTTTTTTTAAGATTTTATTTATTTACTTGAGAGAGAGACAGTGAGAGAGAGCATGAGCAAGGAGAAGGTCAGAGGGAGAAGCAGACTCCCCATGGAGCTGGAAGCCCCATGTGGGACTCGATCCTGGGACTCCGGGATCATGACCTGAGCCGAAGGCAGTCGTCCAACCAACTGAGCCACCCAGGCGTCCCTGAAGTTGATTTTTGAATATACCATTATTTATGGTGTTGTTATTGTTATGCTTCTTGGAGGTCCATTTTGCTTTCAGAATGGTGTGGTATAGGTTTTGTCACTCAGAAGGTATGCCACTATGTTCTGCTGCATGCGACAACGTTCAGATGTATTCATAATCATAGGTTCCAGTTTTCTTGCTAATGTATCCACTCGAATTGTCACAGTTGGGTTGACTGCAGGGGAACATTATCACACCAGCTGCTCTGGCTCTGCAATTAGCAGGCCTGGTATGTCACGTTTGGTGTAAGCTGGAGTTCCTGTGGACTCTGGACATTTGTCTTCCTGAGTCTCTGCCTTTGACTTTCCCTTTGGGAATCATGCCATAAAGGTCACTGTTTCCTGTTTCAAATATTCCTTTTAGTTTCTGTTTTGTGAGAACTCTGTATAAAGCTTTTTCCCTTGACCGTTTGTCCTCCTAGGCCTGAGACTGCTTCTGAAGTCAAGAGAACTGAATACACCCAGGATTCCTTCCTGGGAACTGGGTACTTGTCTTTGAAGAGTAGAGTGTCTTTGGAGAAGCTTGTGGCACCAGGATTTGAGGTGAGAGAGGAGGAAGAGGGGGCTCAGCCCATCATTTAAAACTTGCATTTGCTTCTTGTCAGAATGCTCATGGGCACTCGGTAGGTGACCGACTGTGCTGGTCTGTCTGGGATTGAGGGATTGTCCAGGACATGGGACTTCTAGTGTCAAACTGACAAAGTCCCGGGTAAACTGGACTAGTTGGTCATACCGGTGCGGGTTTAGGACTGTATGAATCCTTTCTTTGCTCCTCTCACTCTCTGTAGGTAATTGCTCTTCCCTTTACCCCAGATCCACTGAGAGTTGTTTCTTATGCATTCTATTAAAGCCCATGATGTCTGGGGGCGCCTGGGTGGCTCAGTGGGTTAAAGCCTCTGCCTTCGGCTCAGGTCATGATCTCAGGGTCCTGGGATCAAGCCCTGTATCAGGCTCTCTGCTCAGCAAGGAGCCTGCTTCCCTTCCTCTTTCTCTGCCTGCCTCTCTGCCTACTTGTGAGCTCTGTCAAAGGAATAAATAAAATCTTAAAAAAAAACCCAAAAAACCATGATGTCTGAAAATGACAACCTATTAAGGATGTACTACATTTCAAACATGTTAACCATGGAAAAACCTTTCACTGGGGTTTAAAAATTACATAGACTTTACATAAACATGAACTTGAGACAGACCTGCTTACACCAGTCTAAAGAAGAATTTCTCATCGTTTCTAGGCACAGAGTGAAGGTTGACTGTTAGGTGCCACGTCTGGTGCTGGCGATGGGGAACTGAATGGGTACACAGATAAATGCCACAGAATGACCAGCGCTACGAGAGTGGTGTAAGAGGCTAAAGAACAAAGCGATTACTATGGGCTGGGATACCTGGAGAGGCTTAAAACAAGAAGTGGGATGTGGAGAGAGCTAGAGAGGAATCCGGAAGAAGGGGTAGACTCTAGATAGAGGAGAAGACTTTTCCAGGCAGTGGAAATAACAGCCTATATACTCAGAAATGCCTGGGTAGGATGTGCCTAGGCGAGTTGCTCTGAAGCTGAGTTTTCAAATGAGGGGTCAGTTTGAAGAGGGTGTATAGGACAATTCTTGTATTTCTATACAGCTGCTTTTGCAATCACTGTAGACCCAGTGAGCACATCTTTACCAAACAGAGGGAGCCCTTCTTTTTCCTCCTGTCCCTCTGCCAGCTCTTTGAGGTTAGGCCTGGCATCTTCAAAGAATGACCTGACTGTCTCAGTAAATATTTGGGGTGCAAAGAACTGGAGCATTGTGCAAGCCCTGTGTGCCCACTCCACCCTTCCTCCTATTGAGTCCACTGCAGAGTGGGGCGGCTCACAGAGTATGGCCAAGGAAGCCATCCTTCCCCTCCTTGTAAACAAGCTTTGGCACAGAGATAAGGAGCATCGGTCCCTGCACCCTGTTCTCAGCAAAAGCAATGAACATTTGTACATGAAATGGGACTGTTAAATGACTGCTGGTTTCCTTTACACTTTATGGTTCATTAGTGGGTTTTCAATGACCTTATCGTAGACTGGACATAGCAAAATATCACGGCACAATTTTACCAAAATGGCCTTTTGTTTACACAAATCCCATTGTTCTGTGTTGAAAGGAAACCCTTTCCTTTCCGGGCAAAGACAACGTGAAGGTATGTTTATGAACTGGATAACAACCACTGTCATGAATGGGACCAAGGAAGACAGAAGTAAACATAGAAGTTGCCTTCAGTGAGGTTTGGGAGAAAGGACCTGAGGAAGGTTCTCGTGCCTCTTCTACAAGCTTTCCATCTAAAAATTCCTTCTCATGGAAAGAAGAGCTTTAATCTGTAAATTCTCCTGGGAAGATTATGACTGTCTTAATTCTCACACTGACAAGTCCATATCAGTGTTTTCCCTTTGGTGAGTAATAGGTAGGGCCTTGAATGCTTAAAAAGAGGTATCTGCAGATATGAGAAAATGCTGCCAAAAAGGAAGGCTTAGCATCTTAAAATCAGATTTCTTGCACCTAATTTTGTGGGGGGGGGGGGGAATTTGTCATAGCTTTTATCTGAAATGGCTTGAATCACAACCACACTCGGGAAAACGGTCTTTTATTTTCCTTGTTTTGGACTTGTAGTTTCTTAATACTGTATGGTCTTGACCGTCTACCACCTTCCTTTTGTTGTTCAATGTCCTTCCTTTTCTCTCAAATTCTTTTGTAAACTATTTTAAGCTGCCCCATTCTGCTCCTGAATTTCCCCCTTGATTCCCATTGGTTGCATTTATTAGCTCACAATGATTGCTTCCTATCTCAGGTCTGGAAGGGCATAACTGTGCTCAGGTATCACTCAGGCCCTTAAAAAACATGAATACAAGGCATAAATATCATTAAGTTGATGACTGCATCTGTTAGAAATATTTTGATCACCGTTCTGCTGCCATTTGTTTTAACTGAAAACATAGGTTGACAACTAATATGTATATGCTGTAAAAAATGGGAGGAAAATTCCACTAGACAATGTGGATTAATCAGAAGCATTTGTTTTTAAACCCTAGCTTTATACTTCTTTTTGTGCCTGTTGGTCCTTAATCATAGCTACAGCTGAGACTCCTTCTCTCCCCATTCTTTTGAGTCTCTGGTATCTCCTTACCCACATCTCTTTGTAAATCATTATTATTTCTTTTAATTTTGCCATTGTTTCTGCCCTTGGTCGTGTCAGTTAGATCACTGTCATCTGAATTAAATGCTAAGATAGAGGGTTTACAATTAAGTTAAAATGTTTCCTTGGAGTGGGTCCAGTTCTTCTTATCTTTTTGGATAAGCAATAGCTTTCAAGGTCCTGGCTGGAAGATTGTTATTTTGAATTAAGGATCCTTATCTGCACATAATTTGAACAATCCCAGACTACAGGGGCATTACCCAGGTCCACCAGACCATTCTTCATTAGCACTGTTCAGTGTGAAAGTCTAGAGAAGAACTTGGGCAGCCATGGTGGACTAGGCAGCTCAACAAAGAACATCCGAAGAAGCTACTAGGAGAATATTCTACCATTTATGTCAGTTTAAATGCCACTTCCAAGTCATACTGTTCTCTAAAAGTTCAGTTAGTCCTGGTTCATGGCTCAAAGCGCTTTGAATGTATCAGCCCATTAGCCCTCTCAGGCATTCCCCTGAGTCTGAGAGCGGACAAGTGGAAATAACCCAGTTTCCAAATGTGGACTCAGAGGCACAGGAAGCTTAAATAACTTCAACAGGATCACTAATTCAGGCAGCAAACCAGTACACACATGGGACCGAGAGAGTGTCACAGTGTTCCATAGGCCTGAATGTGGTAACTTCTGCTGGTGTTCCTATAACTAGCAGATCTACAACACTGTGGTGAGATAACCCACCTCTGTACTGAACTCCTCCTTATCCCTGACACTTGGGAGTAAACAAGCTGACTTTAGGGGACATCATTCACAAAAGAAAGTTTTGTTTCCTGGGCCATCTTCTTTCTGGACTAGAAATGCCAGAATTCAAAACTTGGCCATACCAGAGTGACCCTAAGCAGGTTTCCTAACCTCACCATGACTCAGTTTCCTCATCTGTAAAAGCAGGATTAGTAATAGTATGTCCCTCAGACAGGGTGCTGTGGGGACTGAACAAGTTAATTCATGTAAAGCACTTAGAACCTGACACATAAGTATGCCATAAACATGAGTTATTTCTCTTGTTCTTCCTCTCCTTCTTTGGGAAATTTTTCATGCCAGGACCTTCCCATTCTCTTACTTCCTCTTCTTATCAAAATAGCAAAGGATCCAGTATCAGCTATTAATATTTTAGTAAGAAAGAGTTTCATGTTATGTGGGCCAGCTGGTTTGCTTATCAAGCGTTATCTCTAATTGTGGGATGAAAAACTTGATTCCTGGTTTAAGGAAGGTGGGGTACCATAAATGTTTTGAGGGAGTAGGGGAAGGTGGGAGATGAGAACAGGAAAAACCTCAGTTAGCCTTAAAAATGTCTGAAGGAATCTGCTTAAGTATTTGCAACGTTCATCTTCTGCTTAAGACCAGTCTACCCACTTGACCAGAGCCCTTTCCTTCTTTTTTTTTTTTAAGATTTTATTTATTTATTTGAGAGAGAGAGAGAGAGAGCATTAGTGAAGAAAGGTCAGTGGGAGAGGCAGACTCACTGCCAAGCAGGGAGCCCAATGTAGGACTTGATCCCGGGACTCCGGGATCATGACCTGAGCCGAAGGCAGTCGCTTAACCAACTGAGCCACCCAGGTGCCCCCCCCCACTTCCTTCTTTTAAAATCCCTCTCCATCCCTATTCTGTTCCTTCTCTTCTCAGCATGAACAACTTTTCCTTTACTCGCTCTTAGTATTTTATCCTTCTTTCCTCCTACTCTAGACCAAGACCTTTAATTGCCAGGAATTCAGGGCCTGTTTTCGAGTGTCTTCTGCTCTGCTCCATGAGCCATGTCTAGCCTTGGTTCTCTTCACCCCAACCCTGCTTTGCCTTGATGACACTGTTGTGTAGCCAAAAGTGAGAAGATTTAAACTATGAAAGTATAGTTTGCATATACCTGTTATGCTTGGTTGTCTATTGGCATAATAATATAGAGTTTATATTTTTAAATATATAAAACATTGACTTTATTAGACTGTATTCGGAAATAATGAAACTGTTCTCATATGCTTGGCGTTCTTAATTAATCATTGTCTGTAGCCTTATCATTTGATCACAGCCTTGTCCACAGCGTTTTTCCTGCCAGGCATGTGTAATTAAATACATGAAGCTCAACTCCTAACCCTTTGCTACGTGGGGGAGACAAAGGTAAAGAATGGAGAGGAGAGAAGACCAGGGGAGGGTAGATGAGAATAAGAACTCCCAGAGGCCAGAGATAACTTTCCCCCAGGCCTTCCCCTCAATATCACCACCCAGGGGTAATATTTTAAAACCACAAGCCATAAAAATTAATGGTTCTCAGATTTAAGCTTTAGTCATCTTTGAAAGACAATCTATCTTTCAAAGCCCTTTTTTTAAACTGAAGTAGAAATTACAGTTTA